TAGCCCGCATGCCCAGCCACCGCATGCCGAAACAGCTTTTGTTCGGCCGGATCGAGGGGGCTAAACGGGCGCGGCACGGGCTACAGAAGAGATGGAGTGACGTGGTAAAGGAGGACGTGGAGCTGAGTGGACTTGCCGATGACTGGTACCAGCGGTGTCAAGATCGGCCTCTGTGGAGGAGGCTCGTGAAGGACGCTACTGGGCAGTTGGAGGCAGTCGCCCTCCAACAACAACGGAGGACGGAGGAGCGACGCTCACAACAACGAGCGGAGCGCCGGGTGGCTAAAGCACAGCAGGTTGGCACAGTAGGGGGCACAAGTGGTGCATCAGTCAGTCATCTCAGTCGACCCGTGGCACCTGGGTCTGCCCCGTGACCTCCTGCCAGCGGGCGTTCGACACTCCACGTGGCCTCAATGTGCACATGGCCTGGCACAAGCGTCGTGGTGACGTCACCACCACTTAGTGGCGAATGGCGGTTGGTGTGTGTGTGTAGTGTGTGTGCGTGTGTGAAGTGCGTGTGTGTGAAGTGTGGGTGCGCGTGTGAAGTGTGTGTGAAGTGTGGGTGCGCGTGTGTGTGAAGTGTGTGTGCGTGTGTGTGTGGTGTGCGCGTGTGTGCGTGCGTGTGTGTGCGCGTGCGTGCGTATGCGTGCGTGTGTGTGTGAAGTGAGTGCGTGTGTGTGCGTGTGTGTGCGCGTGCGTGTGTGTGCGCGTGTGTGTGTGTGTGATGCACGGTCGCTGCTGCAACAACAAAAAAACGACACCCGATACACCGCTCCGCGCTTTGTTTCATACTCGGAGTTGTTTCAGCCAAGCGATTTAAAATATCGATTCACATGCGGGGGGTGCGGAGGATGGGAGGGGGGGGACGCGACGTTTCTGACAAACGTCGCTTGCGACATTTGTGCAGAGCTACAAACTCGACATTTTGGGCCACGGACCTTGATCGGTGCCCCGAAAGGGGCCGTCCATAAATGACGTCACGCGATTTTTGACCTCCCCCCCCTCGTCACACGGCGTTACAAAAAGTCAGATCCCCCCCCAAATATGACGTCACAAAACTCTACCCCCCCCAAAAAATAAAACACTTCAAATCGCTTTAAACTATTGTCATTGTAGTGCGTATTTAGTGTGGCGCTGCACTCTGATGTTGTAGGAGAAAACATTCAAAAGTCTATATAAGTAGAACGTGTTGTCTATATTTATTTAAAGTTGCGCATTTTGATGTGACGTCACATTTCTCACCCCCCCCCCCCTCGTCACACATCGTCACAAATCGTCAGTCTGACCCCCCCCCCCCCCCAGGTGCGTGACGTCATTTACGGACGGCCCCCCCAACACCCCGGTTAGCGTCGGGGATGCGTCCCTGCGAGGCGCGACGGCGAGGAGTTCAGGAGAACTCACTCGCGAGCGCCGCACGCAACGCCGATGAATTTATCACGGGGGGCGCTTCAAAACAAATGTCGAACGCTTCGGAGAATTTGGCAACAACGCCGCTAAAAAAGCGCGCCTCCCCCGGGGTCTGCAGACCGTCCGCCTGGAGGAGGTTCCAGGCCAAGCGTCGACAACGATGGCGAGCAAGTGGGAGACTCTTTCGGCTCGTTGAAGCCATCAGCGTTACATTTGTTATCGCGCTGGATTTGAAGCTTTCGTGACTGCGGGAATCCACACCCCTTTGGCAGCGCCGCAGCTTGTGTTACACACAGACGTGACATTAACTTGCTCATCTCCCTAATCTCTCTCTCCCTAATCTCCCCCCATTAACGCAACTGACGCGCTTGCGTGCGGGGATGGAAGTCCTTTCCAGCTCAGGCCCCGCTTGCTTGCCCATCACCACGTATATAACCTCTTGTTGTTGTCACAGCTCTCTCGCTGGTTCAGCAGTTCCACTTCTAAATTATAATTTTTTTACGCCTGAGAACGACCGCTTGCGTTGCGGTCGAAACGCCGTGATTTGTTATTTTTTTAATTTTGTTTTTCTACCTACGTGACTTTACCGAAAGAACCAAAGAGCATTTGTTACAGTGTATGAGCCGTTCTTTTTACCAATAAAAGCGATAGTCCCATATAAATGTTTAAAAAAAAAACACATTTGAAGTACCCTGTATAATCAACGAGTTCTTGTTTTAATTCACGAAATGATGTTTACGATCCGCGTGTTATCACGCGCGCCATTAACCGACATCCCAAACGAAACTCCGACGTGTCGCTCGGGTGAAAACTAAAACGACGACTTCGTCGAGAACGCATCCCCCCCCCATCCCCCTCCATCCCCCCCCGCCGCGTCCCGCCACACGTACGGTGGCGGACCCCCATCCAGCGCCGACGTGACGAGCACACACCTCCTCGAGGAACGCGTCCCGGGCGCTCGGCGAGCTTCCGGGGTTGGTTTGTTTGTGTGCGGGGTGCCCAGCTGCCCGCCCCTGGGTAGCCCCACGTGACAGCAACGTCACACCCAGCACTGCGTCACACCCAGCACGAGCGTCACACCCAGCACTGAGCGTCACACCCAGCACGAGCGTCACACCCAGCACGAGCGTCACACCCAGCACTGCGCGTCACACCCAGCACGAGCGTCACACCCAGCGCTGCGCGTCACACCCAGCACGAGCGTCACACCCAGCACTGCGCGTCACACCCAGCACGAGCGTCACACCCAGCACGAGCGTCACACGCAGCACTGCGCGTCACACCCAGCACTGCGCGTCACACCCAGCACGAGCGTCACACCCAGCACTGCGAGTCACACCCAGCACGAGCGTCACACCCAGCACTGCGCGTCACACCCAGCACGCGCCGAAGCTGCCACTTCGTCGTGGCCGCCCTCGCTGTTGCCAGTGTCAAAGTGTGACAAATATTGACGGGCGTTTGACCCTTTTCTGGCAATGAAACAGGTGTCGTGTTAAGACGTTCAAGTACTTGCATTAACCGCACACCGCACTTGTGATGAGCATGCAAACAAACACGCTCCGATAATAAACTCGCATTGTGTCTGAAACTGATTGGCCCTACAATAGAAACAGCCGCCTTCTTCATGGCCCAGCCTCACCACCAGTGTCAGACCAGAGAACAACGGCAAAAGGCGAACAGTACAAGGACAATGCACGCATCGGAACATTTACAGCTCGGGGTGAGCAGCAGCTGTACCGTGGGACACCTTTTCGCCAGTATCAAAGTATGAAAAATAAGAATGGGTTTAACCCTTTCGTTTTACATCATTGGAGCACGCGCGGGGGGGGGGGGGGGGGCGGGGGAGGGTAGGGGGGAAACACTGTGCGGCTTGCGCTGGGGGAGACAAAGGTGGCCGAGCAGCGTGCCGACTAAACTACGAACCGGGCTCTCGTGCGTCATGCACAACCCTTGTAGCGAGCTCGCGAACACAAAATTCGCCCCAACAGTCTAGGGCCAGCCACGCCATCGGCGCCCCCAAAGCCCAGGGGCAAATCCTTGCCGAGGTTTTTTGGGGTAAACCGGGAAACATTTTACCCCCCATCTTTCGTTTCATGGATTTTTATGGTATTCACTTTTATGTAGGAATAACCAATAATCGGTTTGTCCGTACATCCGTCCAACCGATAAGTTCTCAGAAATGTTGAGAAAAGCATTATAATTCACACCACCTCTGTACGCACACAGGAATTGAAATAAACAATCTTCGTTATTTTATTTGTATTCTTTGTATTGTCTTCTCGAATTTGCCCGCCCCCGCCCCCCCACTTAACCTAACGCCCCAGGCAACCTCCCGATTTCACCTACATGGAAGGCTGCCTGCCCCTGCCAGCAGCCTGCTGTTGGACGCGACATTCGCTGGTGCCGCACGCCCACTGTGGCCCCATCGCTCCGTCCGCTTCGGATGGTCTGTGGCAGAGGTACCACATATTTGCTCTTGGCGTTACATTCGTGAGCGTTGTTATTCATTTTTTTGCCATGTCACGTGATCACCTTAACTTTTGTTGTCGTCGTTGTACTTTTGACTTTAGGCACGAGAGCTTCCGACCACCCCGAAATAACCTCATAGCTTTACCGATGCTTCGTCGCCATCACTCGCCTACGGAGTTTGCCGACAAGTCTTCTGGGAAAAAAAAGACTGGCTCACGCCCATGATCCAACTTGTTCGGGGAGGCAGGGGTCAGTGCTACATTACGTTTGGGAAGCAATATTCTGTTTGGCAACGCATGAATCTGAACGCATTCAAATTCATTGAGCTCCCAAACATGCGTTGCAAGGTGGCCACGAGATGGCGGTATGGAGCAGGTTTGTTGTTTATTTAATCTTTGAAACCCCGAGGGTGATTTCGCCCCTCACGTGAGCGAGGTCTTCCCTGGGTGCTCCTCCCGATGGCCTTCCACACTGCACCCCGCTCCTCCAAGAGGAAATCGAAGATTCCAGTTCGGGGCGCGCTCCTGGATAAAAAGAAAAAAAAACGAGTCCCAAGACTCAAAAGATATTTACTGGATGAAGGAGAAGGTTGAGCAGGGTGGCACGGTAGCAAACATTCCTGCCAACTCAGCGACAAGCACCTGGGTTCGATTCCCGACTCGGACGCGTTTGCGTGTGGAAGTCCGATTGTTCTCCCCCCTCCCCCGCCCCCCCTGTTCTGCATGGGCTTCTTTGGGGGATCTCCGGTTTCTTCCGTAGCCACAACACGAAACATAAATTCGAATTGTAAATGCTGCGGGCTTTACTCTCCAACACAACCGGTGTGCTGTACCGAATTGGCCACGTTTTGTTTACGTGACAAACCTTACTAATCGGCCGTGTCGGGTGGTGGCGGGTTTAACGACACATTTATATTTACGCGATCCAACCCAAAAAATCCTCTATTATGGATATTGGTGGGGAAAGCCTCCTTCGTGTTGAACTACACATTGGTGTTGGCCAAATATCCCAGTCCAGGACCCTCCTGAAAACGAGTGTTAGGACTCACTCTGGCCTCCCTGAGCAAAGAGGTCATTCTTAATCTGCCTCAGTCGCACTCGAAAAAAACAGTTCGCCGCCCAACGATTCCACAAAAAAACGCCGCAACATTTATTTACTGTTATCGAATGTGATGTTGGAGCATAAAAACAAACATTCTAAAGCTACATTACCCATGGATTAAAACAAAGCGAACATCCTTAGGGTGCATATTCCTTCGCGGTACGTTACAAAACGACATCAAAGGGGGAGAAGGGAGACGTAATTCGGGGTTATCGCTGCATTGGAAGCCAAACGTATGGCGCTGTGTATTTTTTTTTTGCGGAGTGTCACGTTCTCGTGCACGCACGGCAAAGTTTCGTCCAACAAGCGCCGTTCCCTCCTGCCCGCGTGGGGATTTTCGTAGCCGGTACGACTCGGAGTTGATTTCTGTCACTTTGCTGCGTCGGGTGGTGGAGGGTTCCGCAACAACAATAAAAACTTTGCTAAGATAATTTCGTGGCCTAACCTGCAAAAAGGTATATATCTATTAAGAATCGTACCGTTTAGCCAATTATTATAAATCATCCACAATTACCCTAAAAAAAAACAACATGAAAAAACTGTTTTGTCAAACTTGCCTTCTGGAATGGCTTTTTTTCACGAATGAAGCATCGACATTTTAGCAGTTACATTCGTTAGAAATTTCGGTCCGCGCCTACGATTGGCACGGTTGGCTATGTACGGTGGGAAAGAAGTTCAAAACACATGCGAGCGACGTCTGCTCGCCAACGAAAGCGGACCGGTCACCAAGACGCCACGTGAAACGTCGTTCTCGGGGGTTAAATTCCGCCGAGGCTACCGCGCGCCAACGAGCGGCGTCACCTTCCGGTTTCCGATCAATCCGTAAAACAAACAAACAAACAAACGGAAACAATCCCCCAGACCGCCTCAACATTTCGCACGTTTCTTTTCATCTGAAAATCCGGAGAGCGCCCCCACCGCCCGCCCACCCCAACCCTGCGGGGCCTTGTCCTCCCGTCGTCAGACGCGGGCCGCTGGCACGGAGACGCTCGAGACGGCAGAGCCGCGCTTCCAGGCGAGGAGCGCGGCGGCGGCCCCGGCGGCCCCGGCGAGGAGCAACAGCAGCGCCGCGGCTCCCCCTGGCGACACGAAGCGGCGCTTCCGTTTCGAGGCGATGAAATCGGCAGGCGTCGGCGAATCCGTGCGGCACTGCAGACGGCCGCGCGCGGAGCCACGCCGGTTAGCGATCGACGGGGCAACGATTGAAGTGGCTGTCCCACCGCCACCACTACCCGGGGCGCAGGGAAGCGATCGCACGACACCGCCGCTACGTAAATACAAAACCGCGGGGCGCTTTGGGACGATGGTTGGCAGACGTCGCGATCGTTGTCGTTGTAAGGACGTTGACGATTCATTGAAAGTTCTTATTACGTCATTAATTCAATTGCAATTAAACCTCCTTCCCCCTCCCATTCTTTTCTTTGCGGGGACAACTTTTGCCCTCTTCTCTTGGAACCTCAAATCCCTGCCTTGAAGTTTAGGAGTCTTTATCCCTGTGCAAGGGGTAAATGGCCAGAAACGTCACCTTATTACGCACCTTTGATTTTATGGCCACACACATTATTGATGAACGGGTTAAGTTCCCCACACCCCCCCCCCCCCCCCGTACAAGCAGCGAAGCCAATTTACTCCCGAGGTCCAAAGGAGAGTCTCTAGTCGATGGTTCACCCAAGCATTTGGTAGCCTGGCTAGGGCAGTCACCGGGCGCCGACCAACAACGCCGCTCTCTCCTGGGCCTCCACCAACAATGCCGGAGAGTTCCCACCGATGCACTCCTTCATGGGCAAATGCGTCTCTCGTCCCCCGGGGCTACCTCTTCCTTTAACCTCTAGTTGGCTCGCAGCACATGAACCACCCCCCCCCCCTCTAGACCACACAGCCTCTTGCTCCCATCTTTTTTATGTGAACATGGCTTCTCCAGGGTGGGAGGAACACTTGCAGGAGTCTCTGCAGCTTCTGTTCCCACCCCCCCCAAGGTATAGGGGGAGGCTTCTTCCAGGTCTCCAAAAAAATTTTTGTTACCTGGTAAGGCCCACTGAGCTACGTAGCTCTTTTTTCAGAAGCGACCTGGACATGCCAAACGATAGCTCAACGCCTTACCACGTGGCAATGTATCACGGCCAAAAATACTACAAATGCACGTTTATACTACTTGTGCGAACCTGAGCTAGCAACTCCCGCAAGTCTATGTCACGTTCAAAAAAAAAAAAAGCGCGCCTTTAAGAACGTCCTCGAACACAGTTTCTCCCGTCCTCGTGGGGATCTCTCGTGCCGAGCGTGCCGAGCGTGCCGAGCGTGCCGAGCGTGCCGAGCGACGGTCAAGGCGGGCCACGTACCTCCCGCACGGAGTTGAGCAGCGTGGCCGCTTGCCGGTGCAGGGCCTGGGCGGCGCTCATTCCGCGCTCCATCTGATCTAGCAGCAGCTGCGTGGAATTGTACTCCACATCGACCTGTGTTACGGGCAGAGGGAAAAGTTTGAGGCGCGCGCACGCCCAGCAAAGCAACGCCCCACGGGACTTTCATTGGCAAGGGGACGCGCGCCGTTGAGGTGGAAGAGGGGGGGATGACGTGGAAAAGTAATGCGCACTGGAACCAATAAATCTTGCGATTCTATGGGGGTAGGCTTCACTTTTCATCAATACATTAGGTGGTACAGCAGAGTGCGGACAAATATCATCTGTCCCTTCTGTACGATATGGCGTGTTTCCTCCCTTTGTACGTGGTGGGTTTTCTCCCGAGTGTTCCCGTTTGCTTTCCTGCACATCTACATGCGCTGATCAATTGGCTGAAAACATCTTTATCTATAGGGGACTGCAAATCTTGGGAAATTGCTGGTTACCAGCTCCACACCTGGCCGTCTTCCAGCCTTGTCGTCTGTGGTTTCCCAGCGTTTGAGAGATGCAATCTGTACGGACGACGACACGGCTCTGTAAAACTGCAACATTAATACAGTAGATCGTCGATTATCCGGTGGCTCACGGGGGGGGGGGAAGGGAGTGCCAGAATTTCAAAAACGCCGGATAACCACGTAACTGTTTAAAAATAGCTTATTTTTACACATTCTTGCCGTAACATTTTTTTAGGTGTTGTGTTTTTATTTGTTTACTTTATGAAATTGGCAGGAACATACAAATAGACTAAAAAAAATATCCTACTGTCAAAAGTTACTTTATTTACTGTATTGTACTTATCACTGCAATCTCGAAGACTCTGCACGGGGCGATGATAGGGGGCTGTGCAGAATTGGAGGTGGTTATTCAGAGTCCGAATCAAACTCCATCAGCTGCGTTGGAGGTTCGCCGGATCTGCCCGGAACCGCCGGATAATATTGAGAGGGGGGGGGGGCCGGATAATCGCGCCCCGGATAATCGACGATCCACCGTACCGTTATTATTTACGAGAGCGAATACCTTGACAGGTTTGAGCAAGGAGAGATCGCTCATGCTGTGCTTGCAAAGGTACTCCAGGCTGCTCTGCATGTAGTTGCATTGCAACTCCATGTTCACCAGCAAGGTAATAGTCCCTTCGAAGCTGCGGCACACAGGAAACAACGACGTTATCATCATCATTATTATTATTATTCCGATTTTGTTTACCAGGGGAAAGCCTCACCGGGTCTCGCGACTCTCTTTCAGGAGGGTCCTGTCAAGTTTGTTGAAGGAGGGGGAGGGGGGGGCGATGATTGTAATGTATAATGCAAAATCACGAATTTGCGGTGTCATTTTCAAATTTGGACCGTGGCGCCGTGAGACCAATGGGCTAGTCTTGCAAAGGGCATCGCGGGATATTTGAACAGCGAGGGAATTTTCACGGTTAACACTTCATGCGTAATATAGGTTTTTTTTGGGTTAGATGGCGGAAATATAAATGTGTCGTTAAACCCGCCACCACCCGACACAGCCAATTAGTAAGGTTTGTCACGTAAACAGAACGTGGCCAATTCGTTACTAGAACAGCACACCGGTGTGTTGGAGAGCAAACCCACAACATTTACAATGAGTACACAGATTGATCAAACCCAAAAAACCTAGATTATGGATGATATTGGTCGCGAAAGCCTACATGTCAAACACTTAATGCGCCCACGGTATTAATCAGGGAGGCCGCTGGGTTCGAACCGTGAAGCTCTGCAAACAAGCGGCTTGAGGCCATTTCACCGGTCTGTTAAAAAAAAACGTTAAAGCCACTGCCAATTCCATGGTCTCAAATCACCGCAAAGGAAAAAAAATAAAACGTCCAATGCGAACATTTTACAGGAAGACACGCCAACGATTAAGTATCCCTGGAGAACGTGAAACTCTGCCGTAAACAACATGTAGCCGCGTGCAGTGACGGCGCATTAAGAGTCGCAGCTAAACTCTCCCCACTGCTAACGCGATCGATCGTGTGTTGCGACAAATAGATCAAAGCCCCAGGCAGCACCAATAAATCCGTCAAAGCTGTAAGTGACAAGAGAAACCCACGATCATAACATGGAATAGTGCGGGCGGTAAAAAAAATAATTTCCGTGAGTTTTACACAATACACAGATAAACACACGTAAAAAAAACACGCAGCCTCTGTCCACATGCATATAAGCCATCGGCACTCTCTGAAGGTGCACAATGTGGTCCTCTTTGTTATAGTTGACCATCGTAATAACGGTGATGTGGTAACAAGAGAATCGTGGACCGGCGAAGTCCTCGTAGGGAACCATCAGCGGAGTTCTGTTACCAATGTTCACCGCCGCAAAGTCCGCCCCTGCAAACCGTGCACGGGGGACCCTCCACTTCCGCACTACGGAGCCCATTCGCTTGGCTATTGCCAACAATCTAATCTGCATGATGCACTTGTTCAGGATAAAACCCCCACATGCGTGCGAGGGGACAACACGCTATCCCCCCGTGCAGATTAAACACGTAGAGTCCACATTTTGCTGTACGGAATTCTGGCAAGGCAGGGTATAACAATAGGTACCTCCATACTCCTTTGCTTATTTTGTTAAAGTCACGTAGGTGTCAAATAAAATAATTATTTTATATTTTCTACCCACCTCAATCTAGATTGAGGTACCTCGGACACCCACAGGGAGGGGCGTTTTTGCAACATGTGTGCGATCCACCAACCCCTGACCCACTTCAGTGTTTGTAAGAGTCACGAGGTGAAACCGGCAGTCCATACCTGACTGGTAGCTTGGTGATGTCAGGGATGCTTCCCGACTCCCACCTGCTCATGTGCAGCTTATGTGTAGCCGCGAGAATCTTCCTCTGCTCTCCCGTCTGCATCGCACCCAACTGCGAGTGGCCAGCCCCGACGTTAAATCACCGTTACGCCGACAAAATTCGGATAATACGTGAGCAAATGTTCGCCCTCCTACTCGCAAGACTGATGGCCATTTGCACGCCTGATACCGAGCCTCCTCGTTCCGCAGAGGGACAGTTGCCACCGGGCGGTGCCCTTTCAAAGGTGTTGAGATGAGACGCGATGCAACAGCGCTCTATGAGAAGCCCCGGCGAATGGGAGAGCGCGGTATGATTAAATAAAAAAAAAACGTTATCATCATCTACTTTCCAGACATCCCGTAAAAAGAAACACGAAACATCCACCACGCATTATTTAATGGGTCCCACTCTTGCAATCCAGTCCTTACCTCGGACAGCTCTTGGTCAGACATGGTGAGGAGGCTACTCAGCGTAACTTCCCGGGCCTGCAAGTAGAAAAGAGGGTCCCTGTCTCTCTCACCCGTCGCCAAACCGCCACGCATTTCGTGGCTGAACATTGAAAACGTTCGCATTTCACCTCACGATTTATTTTGCTGTTGTTGGGCGCGGGGCCACGTAACAGCGATTTGGTGGCCAATCTGCGTCGTGAAGACCAACAGCGCAGGAAATGGTTTGATGAAAATATTTGTGATTACGTGAAACGAAGAGGGGTGACTTTGAAGAGACAAAATTAATTGCTTACAATCCCAGGCTCCCTCCGAACCAAAGTTCACGAGCAAGAGTATGCCCCGTGCATGCCGGTATCAGGGTCCAAATTTGCCAAATTCTAAAATAATCTGCATTATAATCAATCATTGTGGTTATGCATAGCAATCATCGTCACCTACCAACCAACCGTAGCCAAACTAAATAAACGTGTTCATGTGCACAAGCTGCTAATGCACCAATTTTAACTGCTTTCAGCTCACCAGTAAGTCACAGAGCGATTCTTACGGCCAAAGTCAAGCAGCTAGATCCGACGGTGCTCCGCACGCAACTGCGCCATGCAACTTCAGCAACAAGATTCAGGAAATCGGAATGAAAGTCTGAATTGTTTGGCTATGTCGGGTGGTGAAGGCTGTTACGACACAAATTTGCCCAGATTATTATTACGTGGACCTAACCCAATGATCAAAATATGAATCGTCATGGTGGTTGTGAAAACCTGGGTGTTAAATTTAGATTCAAGAATGCAAATCGTATTCAAGTTTTGAGCGCTCGCATCAATATATTCAGGCCCCCGTAAATATGTATACTATTCTTTGCCACTGAGGCAAATTGCTACGATGTCACTCGGCCAAAGGACTATGACGAGGCAAAAACAGCGTCAATACGATGCAGGAGCAGCCACGACGAGGAAAGATGCCATCACGGAGAGCCACGGCCCACACCACCCACACCACCGCCAACACCACCACTCACACCGCCGCCAACACCACCACTCACACCGCCGCCAACACCACCCACACCGCCGCCACCACCACCAACACCGCCGCCACCACCACCAACACTGCTGCCACCACCACCCACACCACCGCACCACCACCACCCACACCGCCACCGCCACCACCATCCACACCGCCACCACCACCACCACCATCCACACCGCCACCACCACCACCCACACCGCCGCCACCACCACCCACACCGCCGCCACCACCATCCACGCCGCCGCCACCACCATCCACACCACCACCACCACCACCCACACCGCCGCCACCACCCACACCGCCGCCAACACCACCACCCACGCCGCCGCCGCCACCACCACCCACACCGCCGCCACCACCATTCCCCCCCCACTCCCTTAAAAGCACCCTCACCGTGACCGCGCCTCCGACACGCACGCCACATTAGGAACCGTCGGGGGACACGGCAACTGACAAAGCAAACAACACTCTCGTACTGACGGACTAAAACTTCACCAGGTAAGGCCCACTGAGCTTTATAGCTATTTTTTCAGAAGCGAACTGGCTATCACAAATGATAGCGCAACGAAGTGGCTTGTCACGTGGACATTTATTGCAGCCAAATACTTCAAACGCGTTGATTCTTTCTAACTGTGGAGGAAAATCCACGACACAACAAGAAGAGACATGCAAACTCCAAATATATTAGCACGGATGGCTATGTATGATGCGAAAGAAGCTCAACATACGTCAGGCTCGGGATCGAACTCACGATCTCCTACACACCAGACAAGGGAGTTAACATCTCGCTACCATGGAAACCTTAAAAGAATTGGAGCATGCCGATGAAGCAACGTGTAGCGGTGTATGGTCTCTAAATATCCCAGGAAGACTTCCACATTTCCAAGGGCAGCTACCTGAAATAAAAGGATGATCCTGGGAAAACCAGGAGCAAAAGCACCGCAGTCCTTAGGCCATTAACATGGCCTGTTAGACCAGGGCCCGTTAACAGAAGAGGTGGAAACGCCCAGACTGGGAAAGCCGGCGAGGAGGGAGAGACGTCACACGGTGGGTATCGGCCGGGCGCTGAGGGCTACGCACGTGACCTGTAAACCCAGCACTTGTATTATGTATGCATGTTGACCTTCTTTCGCATCGTACGTAGCCAAACCGCGCTAAGCAGGTTGGCTACGCAGACGAGTGGGTTTGATGGATCGCCGCACAAACGTCGCGAGAAACTCCCTCCCAAGGGGCGCAGAGGTCGCCACTTTCTAGCTCGCCAGGAAATGGCAGAGAACGGCAAGTGGATTAGTCAATCGCCGTTCGTCTAACGTCTTTACGGGAATGAACAGGGCGCTTGCTGCTGCCGCCGCCATCACATTGCATGCGCGCTCCGGTTTCCTGCCACATGTAGTAAAAAAAAAAAAACCCCATTCATTAAAATGGCGTTGGCCGATCATCCCAATTTAAGACCACGCACCTTGGATAAATTGTTGGTGCCCAGTCCCTGGCTGACCTCCAGTATTTTCTTGTTGTCGTAACAGATCCCGGCAGCCACATTAGGCCCTCGGAGCGATGATTTAAGTACCAGCAACCCAAAGTTAGATCGAAAACTAATTTCTTTAGAAATGCTTTTAAGTGCGTTAGTTTGTTGTCCATCCCCCCAGCACCTCCGATGAGAACGGTTGGCTACGTACGGTGCGAAAGAAGTTCAACGTACATATCTATGTCTGAAACCCAGAAGGCCGTGTTGCCGATGGGATGTGGCAAAACCTACGTTTTTTATGCAGAGGTACAGACATGGGAGAGGGGTGGGATTGCTTGATAACCTCTCTCCTTTCCTCCACGAGCTCCCCCCAAAGCCCCTTCACCTCCAAACTCCCAGACGATTCAAACAAAAACGCCACTGCCGGGCGGCCCCTCTGAACCCCCGCCGGCCGCAAGCGACGATCACACACGTCGCCCCCTCCCGCCTTCGGCGAACGTCGCCCCCCGCCTTCGGCGAGGGAGGGGGCAAACGGCAGCAAACAACCAACGCGTGTTCAACGGCAAACCAGCACCTGAAAGAGCGGGACGAGGTGTCCAAGGTCGAGCCCAAATAAGAACTGCTTGAGATCGTCAAGCTTGAGCTTGTTTCTGGGGGGGGGGAAACCGCACGCTAAGTCACGTAACGTTGATTCTGCTTACGGAGACAAAAGATCCCTCCCCCCCCCCCCGGTATAGCCCGTAACAGAGTGTCGGGGCAAGTGCCGTTAGTGAGCGGCACCTGCGAAGGCCGGCGCTCCGGCACACGAGGGGGGTGGGCGGCCAGGACCGCGCCCGGCCGCCCTCGTCTCCCGACTGGCGACGTTAACCGCACACCGCCACACCAAGTACACTCGGCGTCGTGGGAGGCCGAGTGGACCTAGGGGAGGACCAGGACCGCTCCGGATAATCGCCGGTGTCGGTGTCGGTGGCCGTGAGCGGGAATCGAACCTCGGGGTGGCCGGGTTCGTTGGCGGAGCGCTAACGAGCCGCACCACACCGCTCCCCACACGTGGCCTGAACAAGATGCGTGTTCGTGTGCTTACAGAGAGAAACACAGGTGTCCCTCCACGCTCCATGCGGTAGTGGTGGTGGTGGTAGCAGTGGGTGGTGGTGGTGGTAGTAGTAGATGCGAACCAAAAAAAAAGGGCACACAAAGCGAAACCGCACGAAGAGACGGCTGCCTGTTGAGTAGCGCACAGGGTACACGCACGGTAACACACAGAGTACACACACGGTAACACAGGGTACACACACGGTAACACATGGTACACACACGGTAACACACATGGTACACACAGGGTACACGCACGGTACACACAGGGTACACACAGGGTACACACAGGGTACACACAGGGTACACACAGGGTACACGCACGGTACACACAGGGTACACACAGGGTACACACACGGTACACACAGGGTACACACAGGGTACACACAGGGTACACGCACGGTAACACATGGTACACACATGGCACACACAGGGTACACACAGAGTACACACACGGTACACACAGGGTACACACAGGGTACACACAGGCTACACACAGGCTACACACAGGGTACACGCACGGTAACACATGGTACACACATGGCACACACAGGGTACACACAGAGTACACACACGGTACACACAGGGTACACGCACGGTAACACATGGTACACACATGGTACACACATGGTACACACATGGTACACACAGGGTACACACAGGGTACACACAGGCTACACACAGGGTACACACACGGTACACACACAGGGTACACACACAGGGTACACACAGGGTACACACAGAGTACACACAGGGTACACACACGGTACACACAGGGTACACACAGGGTACACACATGGTACACATGGTACACACAGGGTACACACAGGGTACACACACGGTACACAGTGCACACACAGTACACACACAATACACACACAGTACACACACAATACACACACAGTACACACACAATACACACACAATACACACACAGTACACACACAGTACACACAAAATACACACACAATACACACACAGTACACACACAGTACACATGGTACACACACAGTACACACACAGTACACATGGTTCACACACAGTACACACACGGTACACAATGCACACACAGTACACACACATTACACATGGTACACACAGGCTACACACACAGTACACACACAATACACACAGTACACACACAATACACACACACAGTACACATGGTACACATGGTACACACACGGTACACAGTACACACACAATACACACACAGTACACACACAGCACACATGGTACACACACAGTACACACACAATACACACACAGTACACACACAGTACACACACAGTACACACACACAGTACACATGGTACACATACAATACACACACAATACACACAGTACACACACAGTACACACACACAGTACACACACAGTACACACACGGTACACAGTACACACACACAGTACACACACACAGTACACATGGTACACATACAATACACACACAATACACACAGTACACACACAGTACACACACACAGTACACACAGTACACACACGGTACACAGTACACACACGGTACACAGTACACACACGGTACACAGTACACACACACAGTACACATGGTACACATACAATACACACACAATACACACAGTACACACACAGTACACACACAGTACACACACACAGTACACACACAGCACACATGGTACACAGTACACACACACAGTACACACACACAATACACACACAGTACACACACAGTACACACACGGTACACAGTACACACACGGTACACAGTACACACACACAGTACACACACACAGTACACACACACAGTACACACACAGTACACACACAATACACACACGGTACACAGTACACACACACAGTACACACACACAGTACACACACACAGTACACACACGGTACACAGTACACACACACAGTACACACACACAGTACACATGGTACACACGTGACCCCACTCAGCGTCGAGTGCGAGAGCCGAGGCAGGGAGAGCAGTAGTAAGGTCCTGCTCTGAAACTTTCTGCTCCAAAACTCCTGGATCGGCGTTCCCTCGAAGCCGTTGCAGTGTCGGTATCTAGGCCTCGGCAAGGTAAGGTAATTTACCCTTTTTACCGGGTAAACGGGTAAAGGTATCGACATGTCAAGGGGTTAGGTAAAGGGTAGGGTGAAGGTAGCGCGGAAGAATTACCCGGTAGGGTAAAGGTAACGTGAAGTATTACCCGGTAAAAACCTTGTTTACCGCTCGTTAAAAGCTCCATGGCGCAGTCCGTGGCCTCCATTTAAAATTGGAACCATCGAGAGTATTCTATAGATGAATAAAGCGCTCTGCCGAGCATTTGCCTGTTACAAACCTTCTTCATGTGTAGTGGTACCCCAGTAATTACCCTGTATCGGGTAATTTGTATGTGGTAAGGGTAAAAGGTAGGGTAAAGGTGGGCTCGTTGCTTTTACCTTTTACCTTACCTTGCAGAGGCCTATCGGTACCGCCGGACACGAAGGCTGCAGAGCGGACGCAGGGTACCTGATTTTCAATTCCAAAGCCTTGGTGCTGACAGCGCTTATTTTGTTGGTAGGCGCCGTGAACTTGCACGTCCCCGACTCCTTGTAAGACTCGAGCACGATCTGAGACGGGGAAGGACGAGCGTCATCCCGGTGCCCAGGGTGCCGCCCCTCCCCCCGTGGTTATCGCTGCACGGCACTCCCGATGCGATTCCGCGTCGTGCCACGCGCCCCGCACGGCACGTCGTCCGACGTTTCCACTGCCTGCTGCCGGGATTTTTCACGCTGGCCCCGGCCGATGCTCGTTTCCGCTCTCGTTTACGAGCACGCGCTCTCGTACGCAGGCGAAGGAAATCTTAAACGTCAATGCGTACACGCGCTCATACATACAGACAAAGCAAAGACAAAAATCCCCCGCCCCCCGTATAGCCTCAAAATGCTGTTGGGGGCAAGTGCTGTTGGCGAGCAGCACCTATGAAGGCCGGCACGGCACACGAAGGGGGTGGGAGGCCAGCACCACCCCAGGCGACCTTTGCCTTCACCAGTGGTGATGCTTACACATCGCACCAGGTACTAATTTATGCTCGAGTCGGCCTAGAGGTAGCCTAGGACCGGTTGAAATATCCGCCAACGTTATCGGTCGTGAGCAGCTCTCGAACTCAGGTCGCCGAGTTGGAAGCGCGTCGTCGCGCTAACCGCTGCGCCGCCGCTCCCCAGGTGCCTGCCGCACCTGCTGTGCTCACCTGCACCTTGCTGAACTGGAGCGCCAGCTCCTCGGCGGAGAAGCCGCCGTTGGTTTTGATGGCGACGTCCGCACCGAGCTCCTCCAGGCGTCTTCGGCACGCCTCGTGGCCTCTGCTCGCGGCCCAGTGCAGCGCCTGCAATCGGGCCGAGGGCAGAGCTTCGATCGCGGGGGCCTTCCACGTCACAACGGGGGGGGGGGGGGTGGGGGGGGGGGGGGTTCACTGCCCACCGGCACGGCAGACATTCGTACCTCGCGTCCGTCCCGCTCGCCACGCGGGACCCGCGATTGAAGCCTCCTCGCGTGTGTACGGCGCGTCTCACGCGCGCCCGTGCCCCGCCCCCGTGCCCCGCCCGTGCCCCGCCCCCGTGCCCCGCCCCCGTGCCCCGCCCGTGCCCCGCCCGTGCCCCGCCCGTGCCCCGCACCTCTAAACCGGCCAGGGGGTGGCTCAGTGGTAGAGCGAGCGGCTCGCAAGGTCGCCAGCTCAGCTCCTGGGTTGGGGGTTGACTCGGCCCATCGTCCAATTTGAGTCGATAAAACGAGTACTCCACTGTGTGGGGGAAGTCAACAGTGGTTGTCCTATGGGCAATGAGGATTTTTTTCCACCACTGGCTCGGGGCGGTAAACAGGAGAAGACCACTGCTTCGACGCTCACTTGAGCAGGAAATCACTCCGACTTGCACAAGTTTCTCATCTAATCGTTTGTACTGACGGTCTCGTATCTCTCGACTGATTTGTCCGACTCGATCCACGCGTTGATGTCCGTCTTCCTTGTGCTCTCGGTGACGAAAGAGTCGTGGGTTCCGACTCGCTTTGTCCCGCCCGTCTTATTCTGTGCCGCCTGCTATTTCACGTCGACCGCGAGCGTCGGGAGAGGCAGGGGCGGACCCACGCTTCACCACGCTCGCAATCCCCCGTCGACTCACTTGCGGGGAACCCGATAACACACGGCTGGGTGGCCAGAGGCGGGGAGGATCAAGAAACCTGCAGCGCGATTTCAACCGCCGCCTTCTCCTGGCGAGCCAGGGTACGATCGCACCACCTCCTCGGCGCCCCCCAAAAAATAAAAAAAACACTCGCAGTTCGGCGTTCGTTTAATTCAGAGGCGTTGTAGCGCCCCGTTGTTTTTCAAGACGTTGTCACTCGCCGCAGAGGACCGGAGCGACGCGACCACCGCCACTCTTCCATAGCTGGCGCCAAAAACTGTGCCACACGCCCTCCCCGGCATGGATTTTGTGGGAGCGCCGGTGCGTCTCCCGACCTGAAGACGTACCGATAAAGCGATTTCATTTGTTTTTCTTCCGATTCCGTTCCGATGATGTACACGTATGGTGATCAGAATGGGAAAGGGTTAAGTTAATAAAACATCAACGTGGATGTGCAATAAGTATTGCACTCATGGGACCTCCTTTGCCAGTACCAAAAAATGATATCAAATCATATTTTGGTACCAAAATATACCAAAATATGATATATTTCGGTATTGGCAAAGGAGGTCCTATGATGTAAATGCTCACCCCGAGCTCTCATTACTCTGATAGTGCATTGTCTTTGGGCTGTACGCCTTTTGGCGTCTTCTGGTCTAGCACCGTTTGAGACGAGGCTCAAAAGAAAGCTATCGCTGGTGTGGACCAATCAGTTTCAAGGACAATGCATCATATTATCATAGTGTGTTTTTTGTTTGCATTCTGACCACAAATACTGTGGTTAATGCAGACACGATTCCTTGTAAAAGGTTCCAGTTTTGCGTTTTAACAACTTAACACCGCTGTTTTGTTGCCAGAAAAAAAGGGGGAAAGCCTATCAAGTATTGCACTGTTCCGTAAACAGACAGGGAGATGTGTCACATGCTTACGGTCCACCCGTGCTGGTCCTGCAAGTTGACGTCTGTGCTGTGCTGTCCCAGCAACTGCACCGAGTCCTGGTAACCGTCGCGGGCAGCGTACATCACGGCGCTCATCCCCATCCTGAGCCCCAACAGACAAAGGCACAGAGGCAAAGATCTCCCGTGTGGCTTTCAACGGACTGCAGGGGGCAAGTGCTGTTCGCGAATGTCACCCATGACGGTCGGCACGGCACACCAGGGGGGTGGGTGAGCCAGCGGCAAACAGGCTGCTTTAGTGGCATTTATTCCGGACCTACCCGTTGTTTCGTTCGATTTTCCAGCAGCGTGACTCCGGATCTGGGTGAGATTCTGGGATTTCAGTGGAGCACTGAGCACGAGCCACTCCTAGCTTGTTGTTGTTGGTACCTGTCGGTGACGTTGGTGTCGAGCGCGTGCCGGAGAAGCTGGGCGGCGCACGCCACCGCGTCTCCCGCCGGACGGTGAGAAGGTGCGCACGCGGCCATCAGCACCGTGTAGCCACCTACGAAACCGCCGTGAGTGGCGCGGGCGGTGACTCGAGACGAGCTCGGAACCGCGCCGACTCCGCGTCGTCCAGGAGGCCGTTAGCGGGCCAGCGCGCTTGCCAACGCGCAAGGGTTCTCGTCGTATTGTCCGCGAAAAATGTGAATGGCACTTTCATTTTATATAGCGTCATTCATGCCAACAGCATCCCACGACGCCGTACACTAGTTGTATATTTAAGGACCAAATCCCACATGCACGGCTGGCACGTACACACACGTACGTACGTACCAAGCAAATGAAAACTCGACCAACCCAAGCAGAATAAAACAAATGAACAAGCAAATTAAGAAACGGGCACCAGAAGAAAAAGCGCAAACAGCAAAAAAAGAGATCACAGCAACGACGACAACAAAACCGCCGAGGCTTTCGAGAAGTCAAACTGGCGATCGCGAGTGACAAACCTCACTGCCTCCACGGTGCCGGATTACAGGCGACGTGGGTATTATAGCCACCCACCCCTGGGCAAATTGAAGCAATCGACAACAACGCCCATGAAAAGCCAGCGTAACGGCATCCTGGTGGTCTCCACAGACGACCGTGTCGCTGACCTTCGGTGGCGAAGTGAGCGCTGGCGCCACGGGCCAGCAGGACCTTCACCAGGGCCGGGTTGGCACACACGGCGGCGTACATCAGCAGGGACCAGCCGGAGGAGAGAACTGCGTTCACGTCGACGCCTACCGGGCCACACGGACACAGGCAAAGAACCCCCACCCGCCCGTGTAGCCTTAACAGACTGTTGGAGGACAAGCGCCGTTGGGCGAGAGGCACCTACGAAGGACGGAACGGCACACGAGGGGGGTGGGTGGCCAGCAACGCGCCAGGGCCGCCTTTGTCTCCCCAACGACGATGTTTACGCACCGCGCTCGGCACTCATTTGAGTCCGAGTCGACCTAGGGGAGGCCCACGACCGGTTCAGATAATCGCCACTGGCGTTGGCCACGAGCGGGAATCCAACTCGGGTGGCCGGGTTCGTAGCGCGGCGCGCTAACCGCCACACCACCGCTCCCCACGCGGGCACAACCCACACGGGCCTCACCACCATCTTCAATTTGACAAATCACCTGGAGTACAATAACAACAACAAAATACAACGCGTTCATTAATAACACCGTGGGGACCTTTGGAAGAATATATATATGGCGTAGGTAATATTTCGGGCAACGGCGCTTTGTCATAGACTTCATCGCGTGTAGGACATTGTCACGCAAGCTCCTGTAGTGTGAAGAAGTCAGAGTGCATTGGTAGCCCGGAGATGGAACTTAATTCGTTCCAAAAGGCCATTCGAACACCGATTTGTTCGAACACCGAATACATTTTCCCCATAAGAATTCATGTAAATGACGTTAATTGGTTCCAAGACACAATAAATCTCTCGTTATAAAGCAATTTTTACACGAAGATTACAGTAATTACATAAAATCATACGAAAAAACAAGAAACACAATAAATAACTGGAATAAACATGGAAAAAATGAAATAAATGAACATTGAACTTCACTTTACCTGTAGTAAGGAGAGTTGATTGCTTGAGTAGAAGGTGGTGGACGAGGAGGTAAAACCTTTGTCTGGGCAAGCGTTGTGCACGCTGCTGGGCCATCAGCGTCTCAGCCGTGTACAGGTTCTTTCAAGTCGCGATTGCCCGTTCGACCTCCGAATTTCGTTCGGTTTTTCCGGGGCAAAAAATGTTCGGAAACATCGTTCGAACACCGTATTGTCATCGTTCGAACACCGTTTTGTCATCGTTCGAACACCGTTTTGTTTGAGTTCTGGTGCTTTCGATCTCCGAGGTGCTACTGTATATATACTGTACACAGGTGGCAATTCTGACATTTGGGCCTTCTCCATACGCTTGCGCCATGATGAAAGCACGAGTGGATGAAGAAGTGGTCCTGTGGCAATGTCATACACGCCTCTCCAACTTGAGGAAGGGGCCATCGCCCAAAATAACACCCATTACGGTATTCACTCGTGTTATTCGCGAACTTGGCTGTCCGCGAATCGCATCTGAAACGCTACACGACTAATGCATCGAGAGAGAGAGAACAGGAATCTCTCGTTATTCAAGAAACTTGGCTATCTGCGATGTTGGCTAATCCGCAAATCGCATCGGGGATGCTCTACACGACTGCTGCATCGATATAAAGTGACAAGATAAAGTGATGAGATAAAGCGACGAGAGAGAAAGCTTATTTTTATATATATATTTAATTTAATTTTAAAAAAAGATCCCCTTTTTAAGGCAACGGTGTTAACTGACGAACGCGTTCAAAATTACAGCTCATCAATTCATGTGATGCGATAAAGCGATGACCGATAAAGTGACGAGATAAAGCGATGAGAGAGAGCGAGAGAAAGTGATGGAAGTGGAGAGTGTTATTATGACAGTTTTCACGAATTTAATAGCTTAGTTGCCTATTTATTTCAGGTTATTGATTATACTTCAGGATAAATACTGCATTAACCACACGTACTTAAACAAGGCTGCTGTCCCAAAGACAACGCCACAGATTACCAGAGCCACGTGTTTGTTTGCATGTTCACCACAAAGTACCGTGTGTGGTTCAAGCAGTACTTGATTCCCTGCAAGAGTTTCTATTTTGGCAATTTAACATCTTAAAACACCTCCTGTTGTATTTCCTGAAAGGGTAAAAAAACACCTCTTCGTATTCTTTTTCACACTTTGACACTTTAAGATGTTTCTTGTCCATGTTTTTGTTTTGCTGCACCCGAGTCAAGAGCCACATGGCTCACAGGGTTATACCTCCTAATACATGAAAACTGAAACTGGCAACGACAAAAAGGTCCCATTTTTTTAGCAACAACAACAACAATAACGACAACGGACTGACTCACCCGCGTCCAGCGCCTCGCACACGAGCTCCTGGTTTCCGGCCATGGCAGCTGCCCTCGTGTCCTCCAGCGAGAGCAGCCTGCCCTCAGCTCTCACCACTGCTGCCCTCCTTGTCCTGACGCCACTGCTGCTGCTGCTGCCACCCATCGCGTCCCGCCGGGCCGCACCCACCTTGGCCACGAGGCACGGCTTCCCAGCGGCGAAGGCCTTGCGGGCACCGGCACGCTCGGCATTTTCACCGCGGCAATGCCCACCGCCGCTTGCCTGTCGTAAGAGGAAACGGGGGAATGAAAGAATGAAGAGAGGAGCACAGTGAAGGATGGAGCTGTGCCCTGGCAAAGTGTCTCGCCAGTGTCCGTATCCACGTCCCTCGTTCTTTCTACGTGCTGTGTATTTCGCTGTGAGACATCTCTCTCTCTGTGTGCTGTGTATCTTGCTGTGAGCCATCTCTCTCTCTGTGTGCTGTGTATCTTGCTGTGAGCCATCTCTCTCTCTGTGTGTGCTGTGTATCTCGCTATGAGACATCTCTCTCTGTGCTGTGTATCTCGCTGTAAGCCATCTCTCTCTCTCTGTGTGCTGTGTATCTCGCTGTGAGACATCTCTCTCTGTGCTGTGCATCTCGCTGTGAGACATCTCTCTCTGTGTGCTGTGTATCTCGCTATGAGACATCTCTCTCTGTGCTGTGTATCTCGCTGTAAGCCATCTCTCTCTCTGTGCTGTGTATCTCGCTGTGAGCCATCTCTCTCTGTGCTGTGTATCTCGCAGTGAGACCTCTCTCTCTCTCTGTGCTGTGTATCTCGCTGTAAGCCATCTCTCTCTCTCTCTGTGTGCTGTCTATCTTGCTGTAAGCCATCTCTCTCTCTCACTGTGCTGTGTATCTCGCTGTGAGCCATCTCTCTCTCTCTATCTCGCTGTGAGACATCTCTCTCGCTCTGTGTATCTTGCTGTGAGCCATCTCTCGCTGTATGCTGTGTATCTCGCTGTGAGACATCTCTCTCTGTGCTGTGTATCTCGCTGTAAGCCATCGCTCTCGCTGTGTGCTGTGTATCTCGCTATGAGACATCTCTCTCTGTGCTGTGTATCTCGCTGTGAGCCATCTCTCTCTCTCTGTGTGCTGTGTATCTCGCTGTGAGCCATCTCTCTCTGTGTGCTGTGCATCTCGCTGTAAGCCATCTCTCTCTCTCTGTATGCTGTGTATCTCGCTATGAGACATCTCTCTCTCTGTGTGCTGTGTATCTCGCTATGAGACATGTCTCTGTCCTCTGTATCTCGCTATGAGACATCTCTCTCTCTCTGTGCTGTGTATCTCGCTGTAAGCCATCTCTCTCTGTGCTGTTTATCTTGCTGTGAGCCATCTCTCTCTGTGCTGTGTATCTCGCTGTGAGACATCTCTCTCTGTGTGCTGTGCATCTCGCTGTAAGCCATCTCTCTCTCTGTGCTGTGTATCTCGCTATGAGACATCTCTCTCTCTGTGCTGTGTATCTCGCTATGAGACATCTCTCTCTCTGTGCTGTGTATCTCGCTGTAAGCCATCTCTCTCTGTGCTGTGTATCTCGCTGTGAGCCATCTCGCTCTCTCTGTGCTGTGCATCTCGCTGTGAGCCATCTCTCTCTGTGTGCTGTGTATCTCGCTGTAAGCCATCTCTCTCTGTGTGCTGTGTATCTTGCTGTGAGACATCTCTCTCTGTGTGCTGTGTATCTCGCTGTAAGCCATCTCTCTCTGTGTGCTGTGTATCTTGCTGTGAGACATCTCTCTCTCTGTGCTGTGTATTTTGCTGTAAGACATCTCTCTCTGTGCTGTGTATCTCGCTGTGAGACATCTCTCTGTGCTGTGTATCTCGCTATGAGACATCTCTCTCTGTGTGCTGTGTATCTCGCTGTGAGACATCTCTCTCTGTGTGCTGTGTATCTCGCTATGAGACATCTCTCTCTCTGTGCTGTGTATTTTGCTGTGAGACATCTCTCTCTGTGTGCTGTGTATCTCGCTGTGAGACATCTCTCTCTGTGCTGTGTATCTCGCTGTGAGACATCTCTCTCTCTGTGTGCTGTGTATCTCGCTGTAAGCCATCTCTCTCTGTGTATCTCGCTGTGAGACATCTCTCTCTCTCTGTGTGCTGTGTATCTTGCTGTGAGCCATCTCTCTCTGTGCTGTGTATCTCGCTATGAGACATCTCTCTCTGTGCTGTGTATCTCGCTGTGAGCCATCTCTCTCTGTGTGCTGTGTATCTTGCTGTGAGCCATCTCTCTCTGTGTATCTCGCTGTAACCCATCTCTCTCTGTGCTGTGTATCTCGCTGTGAGACATCTCTCTCTCTCTCTGTGCTGAGTATCTCGCTGTGAGCCATCTCTCTCTGTGTGTGCTGTGTATCTCGCTATGAGACATCTCTCTCTGTGCTGTGTATCTCGCTGTAAGCCATCTCTCTCTGTGCTGTGTATCTCGCTGTGAGCCATCTCTCTCTCTGTGCTGTGCATCTCGCTGTGAGCCATCTCTCTCTGTGCTGTGTATCTCGCTATGAGACATCTCTCTCTGTGCTGTGTATCTCGCTGTGAGCCATCTCTCTCTGTGTGCTGTGTATCTTGCTGTGAGCCATCTCTCTCTGTGTATCTCGCTGTAACCCATCTCTCTCTGTGCTGTGTATCTCGCTGTGAGACATCTCTCTCTCTCTCTGTGCTGAGTATCTCGCTGTGAGCCATCTCTCTCTGTGTGTGCTGTGTATCTCGCTATGAGACATCTCTCTCTGTGCTGTGTATCTCGCTGTAAGCCATCTCTCTCTGTGCTGTGTATCTCGCTGTGAGCCATCTCTCTCTCTGTGCTGTGCATCTCGCTGTGAGCCATCTCTCTCTGTCTGTGTGCTGTGTATCTCGCTATGAGACATCTCTCTCTGTGTGTGTATCTTGCTGTGAGCCATCTCTCTCTCTCTGTGCTGTGTATCTCGCTGTGAGCCATCTCTCTCTCTGTCTGTGTATCTCGCTGTAAGCCATCTCTCTGTGTGCTGTGTATCTTGCTGTGAGCCATCTCTCTCTCTCTCTGTGCTGTGTATCTCGCTGTAAGCCACCTCTCTCTGTGTGCTGTGTATCTCGCTGTGAGCCATCTCTCTCTCTCTCTCTGTGCTGTGCATCTCGCTGTGAGCCATCTCTCTCTGTGAGCTGTGTATCTCGCTTTAAGCCATATCTCTCTGTGTGCTGTGTATCTCGCTGTGAGCCATCTCTCTCTGTGCTGTGTATCTCGCTGTAAGCCATCTCTCTCTCTGTGTGCTGTGTATCTCGCTATGAGACATCTCTCTCTGTTCTGTGTATCTCGCTATGAGACATCTCTTTCTGTTCTGTGTATCTCGCTATGAGACATCTCTCTCTGTGTGTGCTGTGTATCCCGCTGTAAGCCATCTCTCTGTGCTGTGTATCTCGCTGTGAGACATCTCTCACTGTGCTGTGTATCTCGCTGTGAGACATCTCTCACTGTGCTGTGTCTCTCGCTGTAAGCCATCTCTCTCTGTGTGCTGTGTATCTCGCTGTGAGACATCTCTCTCTGGACCATCGCTCGTGTCTCCGTGTCCCCGTGTCTCTCTCTCTATCGGCCAGCCTCTCCGTCTCTATCTCGGGGACAGCAGAGATCCCCCGTTTGAGACGCTCCGCGAGAACGATTCGTTTGTTGTTGTTGATGTTTAGGCGCGAGCGACACGTCGTCGTCATCTTCTTGGGGTATCTCGCGAAATCGAGGAGGCGTTAGCCGCCGCCTGGGTGGGTGTCGATTGACCGGTGGGGTTCGACGGGTGGCGAAGAAACTTAGGGGTCGGGGATGGCTTTGCTTGACGCGTTCGCCAAAGACGCCACCCGCACGCATTGCGTTAATGATGGTGGTGGGTGGTGGTACGACGCAGGGCTCAGGTGATGGTGTCGAACTAAACAAATGGCGATGACAAACAACGCGATGCACGGCTCAACACTCACGAAAGATGATGGTGATGATGGTGGTGGTGCACGTAGGGCGCAACACACATGGTGGTGATGAATATGACGAAAACTGGTGGTGGGTGTATCAAGATCATGCTGCAACGTTTGAGATGACGACGATGATGATGATGGGGGGCCTCCGATAGATGAATGTGCTCCAAATAAATGGTGATGATGATGATGCAGGGCTCTTAATAGACTGACGATGGTTACGATGATATTCACGTTCAGCATGCTTGGACGGGCCGGTGGTCCTTTACACAGCACACACAAAAAGGCAAAGATCCCTCGTATAGCCTGTAACAGACTGTAGGGGCAAGTGCTGTTAGCGAGTAGCACCTATGAAGGCCGGCACGGCACACGAGGGGGTGGGTGGCCAGCACCACGCCCGGCCGCCTTTGTCTCTCCCTAGTGGCGATGTTTACACATCGCACCAGGTACCCATTTAATTCCCGTGAGCGGGAATCGAACCCGGGTCGCCAGGTGCCCCCCGAATCGCTGCAACACTCGGGACGGCTCTGCCAGCGGCAAGCCCCGGCTCAATGCTCCCGGCTGCTCACCGGACTGCCGCTCGCCGTCCTCGCTCTCCCAGTCGGATCAATGTTGTGCTCGCGTGTCCAGGGTGGGAGCTCGACGGCTAACGGCACCCTGGGCGGGTCGCCCCAGTCCCATTGATCGTCGTCGTAATCGTCGTCGTAATCGTCGTCCTCGCTTCCCGCGGGTCGCACTTCCATTGCCTTTCGTTGCCCGTCACGGTCGGAGCACGTGGCGTGCCACGTGGGTGGACGGCCGGGGCTTCCGGTGGCCGAGATCAGCTGCTTCCGGTGGACGAGATCAGCTGCTTCCGGTGATTAAGGTCAGCTGCTTCCGGTGGCCGAGATCAGCTGCTTCCGATGATTGAGGTCAGCTGCTTCGGGTGGCCGAGATCAGCTGATTCCGGTGGCCGAGATCAGCTGCTTCCGGTGATTGAGGTCAGCTGCTTCCGGTGGCCGAGATCAGCTGCTTCCGGTGATTGAGGTCAGCTGCTTGGGGTGGCCGAGATCAGCTGATTCCGGTGGCCGAGATCAGCTGCTTCCAGCCCTGGGAAGCGGCCACGTGGATCTATCCTTCGATGCAAGTGGCCAGATTGCAATACACTTTGGGGCCGTCCATAAATGACGTCACGCACCTGGGGGGGGGGGGGGGGGTCAGACATTTGTGACGTCCCAAACTAAAAGAGCCGCATGGGGAAAATGCGTATTCGTCCACCGCGACAAAGGGGCCGTCCATAAATGACGTCACGCAATTTTGGACGATTTTTTGACCCCCCCCCCCCCCTCGTCACACGGCGTCACAAAAAGTCAGACCCCCCCTCAAATATGATGTCACAAAATTCTGCCCCCCCCAAAAAAAATATAAAACATGCTTCAAATCGCTTTAAACTCTTGTCATTGTAGTGCGTATTTAACGTGGCGCTGCACTGATGTAGGAGAAAACATTAAAAAGTCTATTTAATTAAGTAGAACGTGTTTATATTTATTTAAAGTTGCGCATTTTGATGTGACGTCACATTTCTCACCCCCCCCCCCCTCGTCACATTGTCACAAATGTCTGACCCCCCCCCCGTGCGTGACGTCATTTATGGACGGCCCCTAAGGCAGAACGTACTATCACAGTCGGGCAAATAATAATGAATAAAGATGTTATGATGTAAAAAAAAACAATATTTGATGTGTCTAGCACGTTCGCACCTCGGCTATACTGTATACCGCGAATCATCTTGCCTAATCGCATCATTACGCTCAAGGTCTCGAACATTTAACGCTGCAGGGGCGCTCCGTCTTTGCAAAACTAAGCTTGTTGATCTTTTACACTGTTGCCGAAAACAAATCTCATGCTGGTTGTCAACGGGGGGAGGGGGGGGGGCAACTCGTAGCTTTGCCCGCCAGTTGGGTGGGTGGCAGAGGAGCAAGGCACCCCCTACCTGCCCCTACCTGCCCCCACACGCTCGTTACGCAACTGGAATGATTAATGTTGTTAAACGTTTCTGTTTGCACAGTGACACATAGTCACTTTCAGATGTTTTTTTTGCTTGCTGTGGTTGCTCACAGGGCTATACCAAAATAAATAAACTGCAACTGAACTGAAACATTCGACGCCGCCGTTCCACGTGGCCCTCCACCATGGCTCCCCCCCCCCCCCGCGTGACGTCATCGCGCCTATTATACGGTCACGTGGGCGCGGCGGGTCAGGGGTCACGGCGTGTGTCATCGTCACGTGATCCTCCGCTCCCGGTGTCATGGCGTCACCTTCGCTCTGAGTCGCCCAGGCGGCGGGGTTCATTCTCGCCCACAACCAAAACGACAACAACAACAGCAGCAACAACAGCAGCAACAACAACAGCAGCAGCAACAGAAGCAGCAACAACAACAAGCGCGACAACCCTCGCAACAACAAACGCCATCACTAACAGCAGCAGCAGCAGCAGCCACAACAGCGAGCGCCCCGCCACCGCCTCGGAGCCCGCGCCATGGCGCAGTCTCTGTCCGATGAGGAGTTCAACCGCATGCAGGTAAGCAGCAGCAGGGATAGCAGCAGCAGTAGCAGGGACAGCAGCAGGGACAGCAGCAGGGACAGCAGCAGGGACAGCAGCAGCAGTAGCAGCGACAGCAGTAGCAGCAGTAGCAGGTAAGCAGCAGTAGCAGGGACAGCAGTAGCAGGGACAGCAGCAGCTGTAGCAGGTAAACAGTAGCAGGGACAGCAGCAGCAGGGACGGGGACAGCTGCAACGGCAGGGACAGCAGCAGTAGTAGCAGGGACAGCAGCAGCAGTAGCAGGGACAGCAGTAGCAGCAGTAGCAGGTAAGCAGTAGCAGGGACAGCAGCAGCAGGGACGGGGACAGCTGCAACGGCAGGGACAGCAGCAGCAGGAGAGGCAGCAGCAGTGACAGCACCCACAGCAGTGGCAGCACCCACAGCAGTGGCAGCACCCACAGCAGTGACAGCACCCACAGCAGTGACAGCACCCACAGCAGTGACAGCACCCACAGCAGTGGCAGCACCCACAGCAGTGACAGCACTCACAGCAGTGACAGCACCCACAGCAGTGACAGCACCCACAGCAGTGGCAGCACCCACAGCAGTGACAGCACCCACAGCAGTGACAGCACCCACAGCAGTGACAGCACCCACAGCAGTGACGCACCCACAGCAGTGACAGCACCCACAGCAGTGACAGCACCCACAGCAGTGACAGCACCCACAGCAGTGACAGCACCCACAGCAGTGACAGCACCCACAGCAGTGACAGCACCCACAGCAGTGACAGCATCCACAGCAGTGACAGCACTCACAGCAGTGACAGCACCCACAGCAGTGACAGTACCCACAGCAGTGACAGCACTCACAGCAGTGACAGCACCCACAGCAGTGACAGCACCCACAGCAGTGACAGCACCCAGAGCAGTGACAGCACCCACAGCAGTGACAGCATCCACAGCAGTGACAGCACCCACAGCAGTGACAGCACCCACAGCAGTGACAGCACCCACAGCAGTGACAGCACCCACAGCAGTGACAGCAACCACAGCAGTGACAGCACTCACAGCAGTGACAGCATCCACAGCAGTGACAGCACCCACAGCAGTGACAGCACCCACAGCAGTGACAGCATCCACAGCAGTGACAGCACCCACAGCAGTGACAGCACCCACAGCAGTGACAGCACCCACAGCAGTGACAGCACCCACAGCAGTGACAGCACCTACAGCAGTGACAGCAACCACAGCAGTGACAGCACTCACAGCAGTGACAGCATCCACAGCAGTGACAGCACCCACAGCAGTGACAGCACCCACAGCAGTGACAGCATCCACAGCAGTGACAGCACCCACAGCAGTGACAGCACCGACAGCAGTGACAGCACCCACAGCAGTGACAGCATCCACAGCAGTGACAGCACTCACAGCAGTGACAGCACCCACAGCAGTGACAGTACCCACAGCAGTGACAGCACTCACAGCAGTGACAGCACCCACAGCAGTGACAGCACCCACAACAGTGACAGCACCCACAGCAGTGACAGCACCCACAGCAGTGACAGCACCTACAGCAGTGACAGCACTCACAGCAGTGACAGTACCCACAGCAGTGACAGCACTCACAGCAGTGACAGCATCCATAGCAGTGACAGCACTCACAGCAGTGACAGCACCCACAGCAGTGACAGCATCCATAGCAGTGACAGCACCCACAGCAGTGACAGCACCCACAGCAGTGACAGCATCCATAGCAGTGACAGCAGGGCAGTAGCAGGAACAGGAAGAGCACATTGCGATATTTTTTTTACCAGGGTAATGAATCAGAATCTTTATTTTTCCTGGAGAAATCCGACGAGCTATCAAGCTCTTTTCCACAAACGGCTTTCTTTCCAATCCGCTGTCTTACAGAACCCAATTCATATTTCACAATTATTTTTTATGCAACAAAGTGAACGGACCGTAGAATTGATTTGTCTTAGCACAGGTCCGGTTATTAATCGGTACTAGCAGCAGGGGCAACAGTCGCAGGGACAGGAGCAGCAGCAGCAGGGATAGCAGCGGTAGCAAACCAGGAACGACAAGGGACGGCATCAGGGGCAGACGGCAATATAAGAGTTAGCATGGGCAGCAGTAACAGGTCCTATTAGTCATCGGTACTTGTAGCCTGGGTGCGTGGGGGCACTGTCGTGCCCATAAGCCAAGGGGATTTCCTCTGAGACATCGCTTTGCAAATGGCCCGGAGAGATTTGTAATCTAGCCGTCCGCTCACTCAGGTTGCCACTCGCATAATCGCAACTAGGTGAAGTGTTCCTGTAATTTACGTTTCGGTGATTTCACCTAATACGTACCTATGAAGCTTTTATTCTACGTATGAACGTGACTTTAAAAAAAGACTGTTATATTAATATACCTTAGCAAAAAAAAAATGTTCTCTCCAATTTCTTTGTATTGTGTAATCCAACCAGATGGCACTGTGGCTAAGAGCATGGTAGGTTGCGAGAAACAAATCCCAATCCGGGCGTTTTACTCAGCCCATCATTTTGCTAGGGGTGATAGAATAATGATCACAAAGCAGGCAGTCAACGATAGTCGTTCTATGAATAGGCCGGCGCTTTGTCACGATCATGTGAAATTGTCATGGGTACGTGGAATTTCCAACACACTCCCACGGCGGTCTCCACAAATAATAATGTCAACCTTTTAACGCGCACGATATTCGCTGACTCGCATGGGGAGAGAGCGAAAGCAAGAGAGAGAGAGAGAAAGTGAAAACAACTCGGGCACGGGGAACCACACAGACAGTCAGGGAAGGCAGCCAGTGCTCTGAGCCGGTGACGACAATTCGCCAAGCTCCGCGATCCTCGTTACCCGAGAGTTATTTTGCGGCAGATTAATGTGGATCCATAAATGTGGGTGGAAACAGGAGCACCCAGAGAAAAAAAACGAGAATCCGCGCGTGTCGGTGGAGGGGGAAGGCAACGGCTGACCCCCGTGCCCGATGGAATCGATCGAGGGTAGTCCACACTTTGCCGTACCGCATTCTCCTGGCGAGCCCAGGGTATGGGGGCAAAGCACACCGGGGGAGTGTCACAACATCGGTGCGATTCGCCAAACTCTCGCCATCCACATTGCTGGGTTACAGGCGTGTGCGTCACGACCACCGCCGCCGCCCCTGGTGTGTTGCTGCTGCTTGTACACTTTTTGCATCTGCAGGTGATGTTTCGCGCATCGCACGTTCGGGCTTGTACGTGGCGAAAACCCATTGCAATGCCGTAGCAGGGCATGTGGGTTACACGCCTAGAAGAGCAGACCGCACACAGCGGAGTCTATTGCGCATATAATACGAGTCGCCTAACTGTGAGCACATGCGTCGCTACAGATTAGGTGTACCAACATCTTGTCATTCATATAATCTCCTTGCTGCTATACCGAGCCATGTTGGCTCGGTCAACATTGCAAAATAGCTATTTAGCTGAATTGAGCCTTCCACGAAACACACAAACTGAAACCGACTCGTTTCTTAAGTGTCGTAAATAACAAAAGGAATCTTATTCGTATTTGGAATATTCGGTGATCATCGGATCCGCATGA